GCGTCCAATGAGACGACGTCATTAAAGTACTAAGAAAGCAAAGTTCAAACTCTCATAACTCTGAAGTCGGTGACCCCATTTTTCTTTGTCTTAAATTAAGATACAACCCTAATCTACAACATATGTGAATTTTATAAAATTCTAATTGCAAGGGAATGATTGACATCAAATGTACGAAAGACATTGAACGCAATTTGGCTAGATCGCATGGATTGAAAGTGTCATAAATCCTGATCACTAACTCTTACACTCATGCTTCTTATTCCGAAATGTTAAAGGAAGTCATGTTTAATGACCATTCGTTATTTTCTGAATTTCTTTATGTGTTAGATTTTTTCGAATAGTTTCGTTGATACCTCAGATTACTCTATAGCGCGCGTCTTTTATTCTCTGAATACCATATTTGCTCATCGTTTAGCAAAAAGCAAATTTCAGTTGGTGAGCCGCATTTTTTTTTTTTTTTTTCTTCATTTTTTGAAGAAGAATATGTATGTTTGGGTAACATAGTGCTAAATTTAAAAGAAAATCCGATTGCAGCTTCATTTGACCGCGAACGTCCTTAGGTCTCTGATACAAAATCTGAAATACACTGATGCAAGTGTGTGTGAGATAATAGCGAAGACAAGAAATAGTATTCTTGATAGAAATCTCGATACTGGGGAAATACAAAATTTGATAAACCCGACTGCGGGCGCATGCCCAATAGATCTAAACAGGTCATTTGTAGTTGCGTGAAAATTTTTTAAGACAGTCTTTAAGCCCTTTGCCAACATGTCAGATACACTGAAGTTAATATACTTTACTAATGCCTTCCCTCGAGGAAGATGATTCTGGACTGACGTGATACTTAAAGTGTATTTAAAATGGAAGGATGCATGTGTCAGGAGAAAGAGCACTGGAGGGAAAGGTAGAGGAAATAGAAACGAAGAAGAAGAAGAAGAAGATGAAGAAGAAGAAGAAGAAGAAGGAAGGAAGAAAGAGAGAAACTTCAAATGGTTGTACATAATTCAATTGCAATAGCTTTTTTAATTCGATAATATTTAAAGTGGTGCATGAAAACAACAACAACAACGCTATCAGTTCGATTACATTTGCGTGATCAGCGTTCGTTAGATTGGTTGTACACGTAAAGTCCCTTTTCTGGCAATATTTTTCAATTACCGTTTATTAATTATAACTGTATGTGAGTGAGATGTAGTAGTCAGCTAGCCCTTGGCTGTAGTTGCCAATTAAAAGAGAGCATGCATATATTGGTGAGTGCTAATTAGCTAGCCCGCAGACATGATGGAAACTCTAGGCAAGTTCTAAGGAGATGAATTACGGTTTTAACCATCGTTAAAACTACCGAATAAAAGCATAAAAGTAATAATGTGAAAGAATGAGGAGGTATATGAAGGACTCCGTATTTTTAGCTATATCGATGCAAAATAAATTTTTGCTTCATGTTTACTTTTGTCTTTATTTCCTTTTTTCTTTTCTTTTTTCTTTCTTTCTTTCTTTCTTTCTTTCTTTCTTCCTTCCTTACAGTCTTCGTTTATCTATCTATCACGTTTTAGTTTAGTTTAGTTTAGTTTA